CTGCTCTTATTGCTGCCTGGTATGAACAAAACCTATCTGGGATGGCTGGGGACCAACGTCTCTTGTGATTCCTATCAAGCAATGTGAGTTTACCATGACTCTTAGGGTTATGACAGCACTGCAGTTAAAAGCTAGTGTTTCAGCCGAGATGTCCACATTTTGGATTTCTAAGACAGAAGGACTGAGCTCTGACTTCCTTACCGTTCTGTTTATTAGCTGAAACCAAACACAGAACCACTAGGCAGGAATTGCATAGAGATCTTCCAGGTCACTTAATCTGCTTGTCCCTATTGGAAAGCTGTGAGCAAATCCCACATATTCCAAAACATTTTTCTGTTCATATAAATGGAAATATTCAAAAGCCTCTTCTGTGAAGCCCAATTAAGAGATGTGACAGGCTCAGGCACCACCCAGAAGGTTGGAAACAATGGGTAAACTTCCTTAAAACTCCACACAAATGCAGCTCCTTTCTGAAAATGTCTTCTTTTATTTCCCAGAGTCAAAGGATTCAACATCGCTTATGAGTCCCTTTCACCTTCCAACAAAATCGACATATATAACAGCTACATTAAAACCTACCTGAGTCAACAATCACATTCAACAGGTAACAGCACCAAAGTAGTAGACTAATTCTAAAGTCCAGAGGATAGAGAGTGACCACAAAGTTTGTTTCCAGGCTACAAAATATCAGTCGTGGGTTCCTACCTTCACTCAGCTGTCCATGTGGCTGGAGCCGACTTCACCGAGGCAGAATAGAGCACGTCCAGACTTGATTTAAAGCCTCCTTGGAGCTGGTCCTGTCTGTGGGTCCTACTTGCACTGCATGGGGACATTTCCCAGAGTTAGAACTGGCTCCGATATAGCCTCTTAATTCAACAAATGAACTAAAACAATCAATGCCCACAGGAATGGTGTCCTACTTCTGTGCCTTTCATTAGCATCATCACGGCTGCCCTGAAAGGACATAGGTTGTCTTAGTTTGTAACACTGCCTTGCCAATAGACCTGTAATTTTCTCCCTCTTTCTAGGGATTGCCTGCGACACCCAAAGAGGAATGAGAAACTGGATTGACATAAATCTTGGGAAATTCATAGAACAATCCTCCATGCAAGATCTTGTTTGCTTCAATGCCAAATTTAAGGTATTGGGCTGAAAGTCTGTACAGAGTGATCAGCAATGCCATAGTTCATTCTTGGTAACGACATGTTGTACTGGGCTTCAGAGGAATTAAGATTTCCTACACAAAGGCCAAATCACAGCCCAAGATGTCATCACATTTGCCCCCTACTACCCCATCATGGTCACTAATACATTCATAGGCCTTAATCCAGGAAAAATGAACATAACACATAGTAAAATTGAGCACTGCTGCTAGCTCTGCCTTGGAGACACCACCATCTCTGTATAGAGCAGGGCCAGGTTCTTGCACAATCCCACCTGCACTTTGCCTGGGAACAGCTAACACGATCCAAGCGCTGCTGTACGGCTTAAAAGTCTCTATTATGCAACTACTGAATGAGCAACTCCACATAATTTTGTATGAATGTACCTAATTCTTGTACTATTATTTTTCCTGTGTAGGAACTAAGTGCTCAGAGCCTGACAGATTTGCTGGGACCCGATTTTGGGTTCCACCTTGAAGCAGGATATTCACAACCGCCATCAGCAGGTGAGTGAAAGAGGACTTAGGAGTTACCATCAAGTTTTCCCTAGTACTGACACCCTTATATTTGTTTAGAATGCAAACGAATTCCGAAAGGCTTATATCTGCATAGAAAAAGTATACAAAAAGGTTATTCCTTGTCTGCCTAACGGCAGACTCTCTCCCACTGTATAGAAACTAATAGCTTATCACAGAAAAGACAGGATGTGCCAGATTTTGCAGTGGGATCTCCTGGCATACACTCTGCTGTACGCTCAGTATCACTGCACAGAATACCGCACGTAGGGTCAATTGGAAAGTCACACTGGGTCACGCTTAGTTCGCTGTGAGGGAGCAGCAGGACTGTTGCACACAGCATGTTCCCCAGCGCTTTGCACAACCTAATTGTAACCGACTTCGCAGATGACTTTCACTCCTTCCCTTGGGAGTCTACTCCACTAGTAAAACATTTCCAAATGGGCTTATGGGAAAGCTATCAGGAGGTGGAACAGTTATTCCAGACCCTTGAACAGATCATTGTCTCTGTGGACAACCTCTGTGGATTCCGAACTGATTAGGTGCCTTAATATTTATTTCAGCACCTCCTGTAACCGGAAGAGCAACCACATATACGAAAAACCACACATTTCAGATTTTTTACTGTGTTCTCCCCCTCTGGCTACTAAACACTGCTTTGTAAGATCGTATCCTACCCCTAAATGATAAGGTATACTGGAACAGAGAAATCTACACCACGCTTCAATCAACAAGGGTGTTTACTTTTTTCAGAGCTCATCGCTTCTTAATAATCTAGAGGTGCAATTGCAGCATGTTAGTGTCATACAGAAATCTACAGCCTGGTGCATTTGGTGGTAAGGTATGTTGTCTGGAGCCCTATCTTCACACCTCAACCAGAGCTTTTGAGGCTGCAAGGACAAAACCCAACAGTGCTTTCAGGATCAGGCCCTAGACACTATCCGTTTCTCCTTGCATTCTGCCTACAGCTATGCCTGGAAATGACACGCAGCTCTGCTTATTAACAGCACACTGCACTTAGCACTTTCCATCTAGGTACCTCAGGGTACTTCTACAAACAGTGCAAAGATATTTTTTTGTTAAATAAAGCTCCTGTTAATATGCACTAGGTTGCATCCTGTAAGAGCCCCAATTTGCAAGGCTTTCCTTGAAACACCACTGACATAGGGAAATCTCCAAGCAGGGTCAGCAAAAAAGATGCCAAGTTCTCAACCTGACAGCATTACAGCCTTACCAGCAACCTTGAAAAATTGTTACACCGCTTTCTCCACTGCTTCTCATGCAAATAAAGTTGTTTCCTTCAAAGAACTAATCATTTCTGACACAGAGCTTCGAACCTCTAACACACAAAACATCATGCATTTGCATGAACACAGCAAGCTGTTCAGGGAGGATTTACAGCTTCAAATCCCTACGCCACGTGGGCGGGAACCTCACCAGCTGCCACCCTGGTGGGAGAGCAGTCCCAAGAAGGGTGACGGGTATCCAAGCCACCCCCACAAGCCCGAGGGTTTTGAGGATTTACTTTCTGCAAGAATGTGAAGAAACCCAGCGCAGGCCTCACACTGTTTATAAGGCCAAGGGCCATGATACGTCGCTCTCTACCGTGCCTACATCTTACCTCAGCCTAATACACCTTCCACCGTAGCCTATAAATCAACAAATGCCCTGCAGGCAAGCTGCCTGCGGGGTGCCCTGCCCTTTCAGCAGTAGACTCGCCCTGCCTCAGCCACCTCGCCCGCCATCATGGCCTCCCCTCCTCTCCGC